ACGTTAGATATGGTGCACTTTTACATCGTCGTAAATTCTATATTGGGTCCACCTCTGTTTCTGTTCAGTCTCGACAGCATGCAAGACTTCGCAAGTATCGGTTGCTTCAAAGAGGCGACTTTTGCAATGCAGGGTTGATGCTACACTTTTTCCATACTCGCAGCGATCTGCTTGCAGCAGTCATCATCCCCATCCATACTTTTGAAAGCCTTCACGAAGCCCGAGCTGCAGAATATTCGTGTATTCATTCCTTGGAAACCACAGTTGAATGCACCTTGGATCGTCAAGCTTAATCCTACGTCTACCGCTCGATTCGCCCAGCCGCCCACCGTTAAGTCCACTTATGTCCTGGCAAAAGACATTGGCTTAAAGTTCCTCTTCGTAAGCTTCGCACTTTAGGTTTTCTGCGACTATACGAAAACACTCTCCTTAACCCTTGTGACAATTGGCTTGTATGGATGAATATTGCCAATGGAGGCATGAAGGCCTTTCAGACTGAGAAGAGGCTCAGGAGTGCTGAATTTCATCATCATCATCATGTCTATGCATTATTGCGTCTTTGCAATCTGTTGGATGATCCTCCTCAGAAAGTGCCATTCGATCAGCACTTCGTCGCATTCTTACATTTCGTCAGTGTGCAGTTCCTCGAGGCCCCAGACAATTGGTATTACCTTTGCTACCACATGAATCATTCCAGAAAGCTGTTGAGCAGTGGATTAGCAAGATTGTTATCCGGGACTGCATGATTCCGTTTCATCTTCCCCACAAGAAGTGTGTGGCTGGAAAACATCGTTCGTTACGCGATGTCATCTACAACAGTATTGTGCTTGCAGATTCGTGGTCCTTGGAATCACCACCACCTTGCAATTGTGCTACACTTCGATGGACATCTTGCAACACTTTTGTCTTTTGTGACTTTTTCCAAGCAACTCGGCGTCTCCTACAATATTCCACGGATTCGCAGTCTCCCAACTTGTACCATCATGTCAACTCTACATGGCCAACGGTTGACCGGTGGCTACGTCATCACAACATCTTTACAGTTCATTTTGATTATTGGAGACTTTTCAGTCGACAAGATTGGGCACAGCACAAGAGTGCCGCTTCTACCAGACAAAAGTACACAGATGCTACCTTCATCCAGAATTCCCTCAAAGGTCTTTTCGTAGATGGTCGTGACCATGCCGTTAGTCATGGACATGCATTTTGTAAACGCTTTGTATGGCAAACTTATAAAAACACCTGCGGAGACACTGAAGTGTATCAGCAATGCCCTATGTAGCCCATGAAGCCATGCGAGCTGACAAGTTCCTGTGCAGTACAACTAACTCTACGTCCTTTCTTAAACTTCCGCACATCCAGCCTACCGATTGCATACTTGCAACTAAAACACAAGAAAGACTTCAAGAAAGCCCGGCCTATCATTTCGTACATTCTTTTCTTTTATGCGAAGTTATTCCGAGCCGCAATCATGCGCTGGAAATGATTCTGCGAGCCACATGTCCTAGATCTTTTGGACTGAACACTTTGCCCAGCATATTACAACGACTTACCGTCTCACTTCAAAAGCTTCCTGACGATGCACATGCCAGTGCATACAATCAAGACCTTGCGGGATTCTCTACTTCTACCCCGGTGCGCATTCTGAATGCAGTTCGCCGGGCTGTTAAGGAATACTGCATGTGTAAGAATGTTGACATTCTGACCATTTCTTTCTCTGTCATCCCCAAGGCGAAAGATACAAAACTGCGTAGTTGGCGCGGCCGCCCCCGAAAAGCTGCCAAAAGAAACGTCCTTATCCATCTCAGCGACATTGTGGATATCTGTGAACTCAGTTGTGATGCTAATGTCTTTACTGTCATGCATAAGGTTTTTCGGCAGTGTCGTGGAGCCACTATTCGTAACCAAATTTTACCCATGCGGGCTGGACTTACAGTATCCATCGAGGAAGAAATCTATGTACGGCACTTACACAACTTCTTCGACTCCAACCAGGCTTTGCTTTTCTGCACCAGGTATGTTGACAATCGACTGGTCATTGTGTCACAAAGAATATTACGGATCGACGAGACCTCAGCATTTTCTCAGCAACAACTTTTATCAACACCCTGTTGAACTTGAACATGTTTCCAGTACCGATGCTCTTAAAGAAATTTACAGCTTGACCATCATCGTCTTCAGCTTTTACTACGACCCGTATTGTGGCAGATCCGTGAACCCAATAGTGCCGGTCCTGAAAGACGCCGTGCAGCTGCATTTCTTTGTGCTAGGATTCATATTGAACGACATGTGTAGCCTCCTCAGATTCGTGATGAGCAATTAGAACGTCTTCGACAAAAATTTGCCAATGCTGGTTATCAATTATCCTAAAGGTCCTCCGTGCCCTGCTGTTTGCATTCAGCATAGTTTGGCTCCTTTTCAACATAGTTGTTACAAGCTATGAGAACCGATGCGATTGGTTCTGCACATGAGCCCCTGCTTCCACTTCAACGATTGATTCAGTATACACAGACGGAGCTTCAACAAGTGCGTGCAAATGTGCAGCATCGCTATGAGGAAGACATTGCTATTTGCCGCATTCAACAAGCTCAACTTGATTCGCTTCAAGTTCAAATCAAAGATTTGGTACAGCAGCAGACTCAGGTTTCTGAGCAGTTAATTGAAGGAACACATGCGATTACAGACCTGTTTCACCAAATCAATACCACTCGTGAAACAGTCAATCAAGCAATGAATGATAATCTTCGACACTTTGACAGCCCTTCGTTTTTACCCCCCACACAACTTGCTGCTATACAACCAGAGTTTCCCGAATCCTAAACTTCTTGATTGGAGCTGTTGGTGCTGATATGAAACGATGCTGCATACCTGTCGCTTTGCTGCTGCATCATGCTCTGCTTGAAACTAAGGTAACTAAGGACACACATTGTAGTTCTTGTCTCGTTTCAGCAGCTTTTTCAGGTACACAGCCCTCAACAAAGAAACTGTAGCTACAATGACTCAGCGGGCATCAGACATGGCTGAATTTCATGCTGAACGAAATCGCCCACGACTTCATTGTCACTCCTGACAATCATATTTCGAATGCATTGACATCGTCGGTTGCTGTTCTGCCTACATCGACATCACCGCGCTTGGCAGTGCTTCTGTGGACTTGGTTGCGGGATCCATCTCAACTCACATGCATGAATACACGTCAGTGTATCGTCCACACAGCACATTCCAGCTCATGGAGGGCGGCAAGCACATTTGCTTTTGGGAATCAGTTACAAGGTTCGTTGTGAACCGACCCATCGAGCTGATGGTCACCCAACACGACTTCAATTAGGAACCACCAGCATGATGAGGACACGTAAAAAGTTTCACCTGCAGCCAGATTGCGCATCCTTTCTAGCGAGTGTAAGACCAGCCGAGCACTAATCCTACCGGTATGTGTGGCACTCCTGTTTCTCAGGATGTAGGGGAAGCTCTCTGCCGATTCAGTCCATTCGTGCAGCGGGCCAGTGCATGCCTCTGTCAGCGCATGGTGATATCTGGCCTGATCAGCCACACGTACCTGCTTTCGGATTAGCCAGTGGGCCCCCCGTGGCACTGGAGTAACCAATTCTAGAATAAAGAAAAGATACGATCAAAGAGAGACTTTCAAGTTCGAAGTATGGGCCGCTAATATGGACCTTTAGGCCTTTTTAGGGACCCTTAAGGGTACATATAGGGTATATAGTAGGTGTATAAGAATCCCAGGGTTCAGGGCCCAGACTAGGGGCCCATGGTTTCAACCTTAGAGAGACAATGTAATCAGCTAGCACAAGCAGCATCTATCTACATAAGGATGACTGGTCTGCAAGTGTCTTGATCCTCCACTCCATGTCTCTTCCGCGGAGCAATGCTGCATTGACAGCATGCGGGATATAGCGGGCGTGAGTAGTTGAATTCAATAAAAGACCGTTCTTAGAACAACAGGGCGCGCCACAGCTCACTCGCACTACGCGAATGCCCACATTCTGGCCATGTATCGTCTTCCTACTTTCGGTTGAATTTACGACGTTCTGGTGGCTTTCAAGTTCTTACTGCGTCGACAAGCCATGTGTAACCGGGACGGCTTGCGCGACCGGAACGAAAGCCTGCCAAATGTCAACACACATGTTGTCGCAATATGTGTAAGTCACCCGTGCCGCCGAATCCTAGTGAGCGCATCGAGGTCAATAGCTTGGTGGCTGCGTTGAGGCAGTGGGTAGTAGCTAGAAATATTCAGACGTCCGGCACACCATACACAATGCCACCAACTCTGTAAACCCGCAAGTCTTTCGACGAGCAACATAAACCAATTCAAACAAGTGCTGGGACACACAGCACTGGCAGTGTCAGACCAAATGGGCGTTGTTTAAGACTTTCTGCGTAAAGAGCATGGCCCCTGCGCATAGGACTACACGCACTTCCGGCAGGCTGTTTTGCCTCGAAAAGATCAAGTGCGCCGGTGATCCTAAGGGTTAGTCTAGGCCGTAGCTTAGCTCCTGGGATAGGCATTTCCTTCAAAGATCGTAATTCCCCTATTTAACATCACGTACTTTCCACCAGATTACTACCGTGACTTTTCGCAGTAATCGGATGAGTAGTTTGAGACACTTTACGTCATGTCCGGTTTGAAGTTTGTTCGCGGCCCCCATGCACGCCATGCACAGAAATGCTTCCCTGGTTCCTTTGCTTCTTTTCCGATTCCCCTCCAACTCTCCATACGAAAAGCTTCACGTGAGAAGAAGACGAAAACGAAATCGTTGCAGTCATCGGCACTACCTTCGGGACAAAAGCTGCCGCTGCAAATTTCTACACAAATAGACGCGGGCGCTAGTCTTCCGTTTAAGTAGAATCATTCTTTATTTTTCTTATGCTTGTACAGCCAATTGTTGGTTTGAACATCCTGCTATGCTGCACAGCGTTACGTAGCGTCAGCCCACGAGGAATGTCAATCTTGATCCATCAGCATGCAGTGGGGTGCTTGATGCCTCAAAGATAAAAGCAGAGGCGCTTCCCAAACCTGAAGGGACCTGGCACGTTGCTGGAAGCGGGGACTGCTGGGGAGGCATTGATGTCCAAGCGGCTTCGTGGCTGAAGCGGGGAAGACGTGCCGGCTTCGTAAGGCGCTGAAACAACCGCTTCAGCAAAGGCCTTCTGCAGCGTCTCGAGGGCAGCCTTTGCATTGTCCTGCCTCGGGGTGCCGAATTTTGACAAAAGGCCTCAATGTCCAAGTCCTGTCGTATCGCTTGTTTTGGGATAGACGGGTTCCACGTGCAATCGCTCTCAACCTGTGTCTTTAGCTCCTTTGCCTACAGACACATTTTGCAGAGACTGGAATCCAAGGACAACGGCAGCATGTCCGCAGCCAGGTACTCCTGTCCAGTAAGCCCGGCACAAGAGATGTCCTGCATGTGCACACAGCTTAGGGAGTGAGTGCTTTAGCAGGAGGTCCTTCCCCAGCTAGCCTAGCATGCGCGAGGCCTGCAACTCTGTGCCAATCTTTTCTCGATATGATTAGCGCTGTCGGCATCAGCCAGGCAGTCACGCCCTCTCTGTGGCACGACAAGCTTCATCCTGAACAACTGCAACACCCGATGCTACGATTCCCAAGACGTGACAAGCCTGTGTGTTCAAATTGGCTCTGTGCCGCCATGAAATCCATCTGCGAAGGAATGACAACCAAGGGCGACCAAACAGCACAACAAAATGACCGATGTCTGAGTCTGACGTTTTCGAAGTTCATGGTAGCCACCTCCGCGCTGGATAGGTGGGTTCAGCTTTGCTGAAGCCCGTACACGAGTTCAAGCATCGCCGGCAGCTGACAAGCGGTCGAAGTAAAAAAGGAGACTGTAGCTGTTGATCTTCGATGCAACGGCACAGCGTCGAGGGACCGGTGACAACAACCTCTGCTACCAATAACCATCTGCAAGCTCAAAGTTTCAGGAAAAAGGTGGCACACACAGTGTTTTGCCATTCCTACTGGGCTCCGCTTGACCAGCTTATGAGCAAATGGTATTAGGTGGTTACCGACATCAGCACGCACATTGCTTGGATACTTCCTGCTTACAATCCGCATGGGTGGGGCCCTTGAGAACCAAGCTGTTCCCTAAATAGCTGTTTTGCGGAAGATTGCAGCACCTTTGCCATCTCTGCCGAGGATATTGTGACGCTGTAGGATTTAATCTTAACTCCAAGACTCCAGAAGCTACGGGCAAAGGAGCTGCAGAGTGCCAGGAAACCCAGAAGCTTTATCTGAGACCTGGTCACCGCCGTCATCACCAAAACCATGCCCAGCAGCAGCGGCCTTTTGCCTCAGCCACCGGCTTCGATGGCTTCGCCGTTGTGCCTTTGCCAGCAAGAGGTGATTTACGCGTCTCAGATGGTTCAGAGATTGCCAAGGACTCCTGGTATTTCTTGGCCTGGTACGCACTGATGACCTTGCAGCCTTCGGAGAGAATGAAGCAGCCCACGGGACCCACGATTGCCAAAGCCCAGCCGAAGGCACCGATGTCTAGGCCACGAAGTCCGAGAATCTTGTCGGAGAGGTAAGGGATCAACACAGCTCCATACAAGCAGATTTGTGCCAAAACAATCGCCTTTTGCATCTCCTTGTTGCCCAACACATCGTGCCACATTGGGTTTGTGAATGATCTCGAGATGTAGGCACGGATGTTCTCGGACCAAACCAAGGAAATGAAGGCCACCGTCTGGGCCAGGCTCAACTTGGTCTCATAATCCTCAAGCAGGTAAATGTTGGCTTGCAGGATCTCCCCCTCGCAGAAGTGCATGAGCGAGATTAAATACACCGCAACAATGACGGTTGTCAAGACCATGCCGTTCATAATCATGGCCAACCACATCCAGTTCAGCACAATGGGCTCGTCCTTCGGACGCGGACGCATCTTGAGGATGTTTGCTTCACCTGGCTCGACACCCAGCGCAATGGAAGGGGGCAGGTCGGTAACCAGAATTAGGAAAAGGATCTGCAGCGGCGTCCGCATGACGGGGATGCCCACCACAATGCAGATAAAGATCTGCATCACCTCGGCAATGTGCACAGACATGATGAAGGCGACAAACTTCTGAATGCCAGCATAGATGGCACGCCCCTTTTCCACGGCCGCCACGATGGAACAGAAGTTGTCATCTGTCAAGATCATGTCGGAGGCACCTTTGGCAACCTCTGTTCCTTGGATCCCCATGGCCACACCAATGTCCGCTTGGTTCAGGGCTGGAGCGTCGTTCACTCCGTCACCTGTCATCGCCGCCACCTGACCCTGTCGCTGGATGCTCTTCACGATCTCCAACTTATCCTCAGGCTTGGCGCGCGCAAAGACTCGGACTGAACCTGTCAGCTTGTCCATCTCCTTGGAATCGAGGTACTCGCCGTCTGGGCGGAGGCATGCACAGTCCACAGCAGAAACATCAGGGTCATCGCAGGGCTGGAGGATATTGACATTCTTGGCAATGGCAATGGCAGTCAGCAGGTAGTCGCCAGTGATCATCACTACACGGATCCCAGCGCCACGAGCAGCAAGGACGGAGTCAGGCACACCGTCTCGTTCGGGGTCGATGGAGGCAACAAGCCCAATGAGGCGCAGCTGCTTCCGGCATGCCTCGAACTTCTGGTCTGTGGAAATATCCTCATTGTTCTCATCATACGGCAGGGAGCTCATGGGTCGGGCAGCGATTGCCAGAACACGAAGAGCACGTGCAGAATAGCCATCCACAATCTTCAGGATGTCCTTCTCTTGGGCATGGATTGTTTTTTCTTATGCTTTAGGTTTCTCCCCCCCCATTTGTGAACCTGGCCTTGTGCTCCCAGCCCCTCCCCTCCTTCCCGGCTCCCCCGCCGGGCCCCTTGAGCCTGGCTTTCTCTTATGTTCCGCCCCTTGGCTGTTGCTGATGTTTGCCACAGTCTTCGTGTCCTTTACGGCTTCTGTTGGCTCGCGGTGGGGAGGGGGCGGCATTTCCTTTCAGGGAGGCGGTCTTACGTCGCCCGTCGGCTTTTTTCTTCTGTGAACCTGGCCTTTCCTTACGCGGAAGGGTAGAACTTGGGATCATCAAAGACGTTGACCCTCCGCTTGTTATTTCGGAAATGTAGGCCATCATGTGCTGGCAGCAGGTGGCAGGGCAAAAGCTAGCGTCCATTGCTATGAGACCAGGCAAATAAAAAGCACTTAGGTGGGGCATTCCCCCTGACGATCCAGGAAAACAGCTTGAAACCAAAACACGAACTGGGATCAACAACTGTTTGAACCACTAGGACCAAAAGAAGTAGCAGCAATAGTAGTAGTAGTAGTAGTAGTAGAAAAAAGGGAAGTAGTATTAGTAGTATAGTAGGCAAAAGCTAGCGTCCATTGCTATGAGACAAGACAAATGAAAAGCACTTAGGTGGGGCATTCCCCCTGACGATCCAGGAAAAGAGCTTGAAACCCAAAACATGAATTGGGATCAACAACTGTTTTCAACCACTAAGACCAAAAGTAGCAGCAGTAGTAGTAGAAGTAGTAGTGGTGGAAGTAGAAGTAGAAGTAGTAGTAGTTGTAGAAGAAGAAGGATCAGTAGTAGTAGTAGTAGTAGTAGTAGTAGTAGTAGCAGTAGCAGTTGCAGTAGCAATAGCAGTAGCAGCAGTAGTAGTAGTCGTCGTAGTAGTCGTAGTAGTAGTAGTAGTAGTAGTAGTAGTAGTAGTTTTTGTCACCCAATAGTCTTTTGTCACCCACCTGTCGTAGTAGTAGTGGTAGTAGTAGTAGTAGTAGCAGCAGCAGCAGCAGCAGCAAAGTAGTAGTAGCCGTAGCCGTAGCAGTAGCAGTAGCAGTAGCAGTAGCAGTAGCAGTAGCAGTAGCAGTAGCAGTAGTAGTAGTAGTAGTAGTAGTAGTAGTAGTAGTAGTAGCAGTATCAGTAGCAGTCGTAGCCGCCACCTGTTGCAAACGCAAGACCGAACGATGAGCGCTGAACGGGTTCAGATGGGCTCTCCTCTTGATGGCACGAAGCTCCTTAAAGTAAGCTTGCACGGCCAAAGTGCCACAACAATTGCGTCAACAATGCTGATATGATGTGCTCCGAAAGCTTCCGTGTGAGCTCGGTGCTTGATGCAACTCTGGCTGATGACGCGATGATTTGGCGCACAAGCTTGCAGGGCTTGCGAAGGCGGCTGGCCCGGAGGGGCTGCCCTCCTATTTGCGCACAGGGCCTGTAGGGTTCTGAACAGGTCGGATGGGTTCGCTGCTTGATAGCACAAGTTCCAAAGTAATTGTATAAACAACCTATATGATGTAGTTTGAACTGTTCCACAAGAGTTAAATGCTTGATGCAGTTCTTCCTGATGGCCCGATGTTCTCCAGCACGAGCCTGGACAAACCACACGCCCCCCTCAACGCAGGCATACGGTCAACATGTGCAAACAAAAATAAACTTTGCGAAACCTGGACTTTTGCCCAGGTCTTGGCCCGAGACGCAACATCATCTGAATCACCTGTATCGGCAATGGTTTGACGGAAAAAACCTCAAGTCCAGTTTTTTGCCTTGGCAGGGCATGGGGGAGGGGCGAGGGAGGGGGGAATGGGAAAGCCTTCACATAGAACAAGCCAGGGGCGCATAAGGAAACACCGGGCGGGCATAAAAGAACAACTACTCGCATGACGCCTGACCACCAAAGTCACTCATGCAAGCTGAGCGCTCTGTCATCTTCGGCAAGGAAGGAATAAGGAAAACACCGTCAGCATAGACATAAATACAAAGCCCGTCCTTCTTGTCATCGTCCGTGAGCTTCGCGACGCTGCCATCCTCCTTGAGCTGTTCGGAGCAAAGGTCAATGATGTAATTGGGCGCACCCTTGCACACGGCCAAATAGTTGGTGCCTGCGGGCAGCGGCATCCCACCCGGGCAAATCTCTGCACCCTTCACGCGGGACACCGTCAGCATCATCTTCCGCGAGGACGAGAAGGGTACTTCCAGCACGCGAGGGTATTCGTCGGCAATCTTCTCCGATAAGCCGACTTTGCGTGCGGCAACTACGATCGGCGCCTCGGACGAGTTGCCCTTGGGTGTCCACTTCATCACTCCCTCCTCGTCCTTCTCTTTCGAGAGCGTCGTGTTGCAGCACAAGATGGCTGCAAGCAGATTGCTCTTCACGCCCATGTCCTTCCCGCTGTTGGATGTGCTGCCACTGCGCTGAACTTGGCCCACCTCCGGGTCGAACCCTTTGCCTGTCACATCGTATGTCACACCGGCAGTGTACATGCCAACCATGGTCATCTTGCCCTCGGTGAGCGTTCCCGTCTTGTCACTGCAGATCACAGAAGCCGAACCCAGAGTCTCCACGGCAGCAAGCTTCCGAACCAGCACCTCCTGATTTACCATGTCCGAACATCCGATCGATAGGGAGATCGTGACGCAAAGTGGGATGCCCTCTGGAATGGCAGCGACTGCCAATGTCACGGACACCAGGATCATGTAGAGCCATGCCGCGCTCTCAGGATTCGAGGGGTCTTTGCGATCTGAGACCCAGCCGATGATGAAAATGCCGACGCAAATCGCGATGGCAAGGATGCCGATGCGTGCGCCCAGCTTGTTCAGATTCTGCTGCAGGGGTGTTTGGCTTCCAGAGGTGTCCGGGAAGCAGAAACAAGTGGTCTTCTGACCTCCATCCTCGCCAGCGATCAGCTTTGCGATGCGTCCGATGCGGGTGTTCATGCCGGTGTCCGTGACGAGGCCACGGCCAAGGCCGCTGGTGATGCTGCAGCCAGAGAATGCCATAGTCTCGGGCGTGAGCTTCTCCGGCTGACCATCCTTCTTCTCCTTCACCTTCGAGGTCTTGGCAACGTCATCAGGCTCGCCTGTGAGCGCCATCTCGCTGACCTTGAAGTCCTTCGCCTCGAAAAGCCGCAGGTCTGCAGGCACCACGTCGCCGGTTCCCAAGACGACGATGTCGCCACACACCACGCTTGGAACTGGTACCTGGACCTCTTTTCCATCACGAAGGACGTAGATGTTGGCCTGGGTCATCTTAGAAAGCGCTTCCAGGGCATCGCCAGCTTTGTGCTCTGTCCATGCCGCAATGCCGGCATTGATCAGGACAATGATTCCGATAGCAATGCCTGTGGTGTATGAGAGGGGGTCCGCAGCATTGGGGCCCGTGGCGTTCACAAGGATGGAGGCCACGGCTGCCACCATGAGGAGGATGATGATGAAGCTCGTGAGCTGCATGAGGAAGAGCATCAGCAGGGTTGGCTTGGGAGGCTTCTCCAACTCATTCAAACCATCTTTTTCCAGGATTTCAGCAGCCTTTTTGCCAGTGAGGCCCTTCTTGAGGTTGGTTTTGTACTTTTTCGCCAAAGCTTCAATGTCCAGCTCTGAATCCTCCTTTTGCTTCTCCTCCTTGTCGGATGCCTTGGGCTTGGACTGAGGCTTCTTGAGGTTCTTCTGGGACATCGCTGCAGCCAGGCTGGTCAGGTCAAATCTCTTGCTGGCGCAAAATGCTCGAGCCAAGAGGGGTGAGTGGGGACAAACAGAAACATCACAAATCAGACGCAAATCTCGTAGCTGTACGCTAGTCAAGTCATTTGCAGCCCTTGTGCAGGCTGTCCGTAGCCCAGCCAGCTGCGAACTTCAGCCACGACTGGTGGCTTTGGTTGATCCAGCGCCTCCCGGGTTGCTGATGGCAGCAGTAGGACACAGTAGAGTTTCCTGGTCTAGCCAAAATCACTTGAACATGTCCGGAAGAAACCGCCGAGGCTGGCAATGACAGATGGGCATCACAGATGTCACATGATGTCACTGTCGAGAATGCAAAAACCGGTATCTCAGCACACTGCAAGAAGAGTGGGCGGTCTGGACGCAATCCCGGCATCTATTGCCGAAACTTCTACAGAAATTTCGTTCTGGTCTGCAGCATCCAGTCATCCTTCGCATATCAACCTAGTCTGCAATCGGATTTGTCTTTGAGAAGGCCACGTTGCTAGAAAAGTGAATCTTGACGGAACCCTTTCTTTTGCCCAGTTCGTTATAGCATCGTCGCAGACGTAAGTAGAAAAGAGCTGAACGCCCAGATTCACAACACTGGCAATGCTCGTCTCAGCAGACTCACTGCAGTATTCGCAACCTTAACAATAGCAGCTCGAATGTTTGTCATGCCATGTAGCCATCCTCAGCTGTTTTGCAGTGTCAACGTCTACATAGTTGCTCTGGTTTCTCCGGTCACGCTGGCGATGCGGCTTGACGGATTTTGCCTTCTCGGCACGTTTCAGCCTCTCGCCGGCTGAGACCAGCCAGGCCTGCCTGATGCAGCTGCCAAGCAACATCATCTTTACAGGCACGGTGTGTGCAGATGTAATTACTTAGGTTAATGTATGTGTATATATATATATATATATATGGTCTGTGTCTGTATACATGCTGGTACACCCACTGGTGAAGATTCTCGATTCATGTCTTGTAGAGGCAAAGCGGGTCTGAATTTCGATTATGCCTCCCTGAGCCTCGAGCCTCTATTACCGGTGCTGCCTGCCGGCGCGCCGAGCTGCTCGAATATTATATATGTCCGAAAACAAAGAGAAGGATGTGGACGACGGGTGAGATGAAGTGACGCGGTGACCTCGCGTGAACACGAACACACTCGCCAAGCGATCATGCATGAGTATCAGTTCGCATTGTCTGGTCGAAGGTTACGGTCTTTGGGGTCACAACGCAACGCCGCACGTACCTTCTTGCTACTAGATGGGACACAACGCGCGTTGGTTTACCAGGTGCCGCCTGCCCGCTTCTTGCGGGCCCGCACGCTTACAAAATCCCAAACCAATCTCCTATAACTGCGGCTTGAAGTTAAGGGCACAAGCTCGAATGTATCTAGACTGCAGAGCTTCTCCCTCAACTGACCACGGGCCAGCAAGAAGCCCCGGGCCCAGAGGTGAGCCACACTGTCGTTGTGAGGGCAACGGTCTTCGTCACAGTTGTCGGGGCACATCCGGAAGAAAATCCTTGTGACAGGGCGTCGCCTGTTGGACGTTGGCATTCGCCACATGGTTACAACGGGCCAACTGTCACAGGGATTGGACGAGTTTGGCAGGATCCGATCTCCTTGACTTTTCGCGGCTTTGTAGCCCTCGGCATTGTAGGACCCGCACGTGTCGCACAAAGGGCGTGCGGGGGGCAGCGAATCGAGAAAACCGGGATGATACATATTCATGCCTTATTCATGCATACACACCTTCTTCTAAAGATATTTCTAGATATATATATGTATGCTGTATACTTACATACATACATACATACATACATACATACATACATACATAATCATACATACATAATCATACATACATAATCATACATACATAATCATACATGCATACATGGACACACACACACACACTCACATCGACACTTCTGTTCAAAGCATTTCTACTACATATACTGTCAACCTCATTTTCAGTATATACGAGACAAAGGTACTCACCCAACACAGCGACAAGACCGTACAGAACTTGATAAGCGCGGGGTAGTTGTGGGTACAGTTCGAGTGGGGAAGCGGGCTGGGGTGTCGACAGGCAACAGGCAACCAAAGATGTGGAGACAAGCATATGAGGACTCCTACATGACAGCGCTTTTAGACTGGAGGGTGCGTCATGCTTGACCTCAAATTGAAGCCAGCCGTTTTGAGCAAAGATTCGGCTCTAAGCAATGGTTTTTGATGCTCTGCAGCCCACGCCCGGCTGGGTGCCGAACGCTTTCGCCACTTGGCCTTGACGCAATGCTGCCTTCATGGCACCCAGATGAGTCAAGAATGAACGTGGCAAGTGGGCAACGTGCAGTTTCAGCTTCCGCGAGAGCTGCCTGGGCCAATCGAGTGGGCCAAAGGCAATTCTCTGAGTCCAAGTGTTCCAGCTCCTGCTGCCGCAGAGCATGAGCTTCAATGAGGATTGTCTCTCGAGAAGGGAGCGCTACTGATTCCGCTCTGGTGGCTTTCAAGCGGTTCTCGCTGCTAAAGCGACGTCTGATCGAACTTCAGCGGCTGAGGACGCCTCTGAATGTGGACCCAACCCTTCACATGCCCTCGGCTCTCTTCTGGCGACTGTGTACCAGTCACAGCATGCATTCAAACGTCTCACAGGTCCCCAAAGTCAATTGCTTCTATTTCTCGCAGGTCATACAAGTAAAAAGGCTTCCAGCGCCCCTGCATCCTGCCTCGCTGCATTTCGATCGACCAAGTCTGAACACGTTTGTAGCTTCCTTTTCTCAAGCCTTGGTTTCTTGTCTCCTCTTGCTCCCTGTCTTGAGACAGAAGTTCTGCTTGTGGGGATTGTGGTTCCTGCTAGCTGAAGCTAAGACAAAACCTTCTGGATTCCTTGAAACATCTACCTGAGAGTCGATACCTTGTCCCGAACCACCGAATCTTCAAGCGGCAATAACCCATCAACACCAACTCATGAGTTTCTGAAGAAAACCCGAAGCCACCATTGCGCTGCAGTGAAATGCCCTGTCCTGATACCAGATAACTGCCTCCGGAAAGTGTCCACGCTTCCATCGAGCCGTTGCTGCAGCCTCCAAGACTTCCTGGTGCACTTTGCGGAGTTTCTGGACTGACAGTCCAGCTCAGACACTATTCATTCACTATTCCACCGAGGCATGAATCAGGCATGACAGCTGCGAAGGTCTGTAGCCACAAACTGGATCCTTGGATGTTCTGTTCTCTTTGGCAGCAACCTCGATGAAGTCAAGTGCCTGTGCATCCTCCAGGTATCAACGAGAAGAGGTAAAGATCAGCAACTCTTGGGAACATGTTTGACATGCTCATGACCGCTGAGTAGCCTTCCCGGCCCTTTCCATCATCAGTGCCTCAGGGATTCCGGGATGCCATGGGACAAAGCTGACCCACGAAGCATCCAGCGACTGGTGCGTAATTGCTTGAACAAGCTTGAACAGCTATGAAAGGCAATTCTTGTGACAGGCAGGCTTATATCAGTGGACTGCGACAGCGTGTCCGATTGGTGTGGGTGCACCTACGTCCTGTCAGATGCAAGACCGCACACTCCGCTTGCCGCTTCACCCCGCCTTCTGTTCCAAAGCCAAGGCGTTGCTTGGACAAAGCCGCAGTGCGCGGTCCAAGTCAGCCTGGCAACTCTACCCCCTACTGCCATGCAGCAATTTCTGCCTTCAGGTCCAGACCCTCAAAAAAAGAACACGCCTCCACCTCTTTAGTCGCCTCAGCATCGCCCGACGCATGAGTCGTTGCCTGCAGAGCCAGGACACGCTTCTCGCGATCTCAAATAAGTTGCACAGAGAAGAGGCGCACCAGTTTTTTGGCCGCGAGCTGCGCATGCCACTCAGCGTTGCCTGGCTCCAGCCTCGGCCCGCGGCCAAAAAAACGCAACAGCTCTTGAACTGAGACAGCATCCCACGAGTCCACGTAGATCCGCCCACCGGTCTCCCAAAATCCACACTCCCACGACCCGTTCTCAAATGCTTCTCGTCAGGCGTGGCACCGGCTACCAACATAGCTTTGGTGTGGTCAGATCTTAATGTTCCTAATGCTTGGCATCGGTTTGGGGTCACATCCCGTGATCTGCGGTCTCCGTTTTCCAAAAAACAAACTCGTGTCGACACAGCTTTGCTGCGATATGCTCTACCCCAAATCTTAAATGGCCAAACCTATGACTACGGCTGCAGGGGACATCCCATTAAGCTTTCCGAAATCCGTGGGGCATCTTCCGGGGGCCCTGCTGTGCCAACTTCCGCAAAGCACGGAGCTGCAAAGGGACGTCCTGGCGAGCTGCAGCGGCCAGGCCCCGCCAGGCCACCGGGCCTCAGTAGATTCCAAGAAGTCCCACGGGTTCACACAGGATAGTGCCAGTATGTACCACGATGTGCCTCTCTTACCGGTGCTCCTGCGACTATGGTTTCCGCAACTATGACTACCACCGTGTCCACGACGACGACACAAAGAAACCGACGAAGAACAACAAACAAGAACAACACGAAGAATAATGTCTATAACAATAACAATGAGGCGCAACCAGTAAAACCAGCTGCGTCGGCACACTTATCTGCTTCTCGTTGATTTGCCCTCTGCCCCACCAAGCAACAACACCAAGTGGCAGGGATAACAGGTCGGCTTACCAAGTTGTACAGGGCGCTGCATGGGTTTCGGAATGTTTCGGAGCTGGTTGCAAAAGCCTTCAAAGGGGGTTGTAGCAGGTGTTTTGAGAGGGTTTTGGCGTGATTGTCTACGGCGTTCTTGGAGAATCCTTCCGACATCTTCCGACTTATTGGGTTTACGACTAGTCTAACGGATTTTAACTGGTTGAATAGCTGGAGACCAGATCTGGAGCCGTATTGTATTGTGTTGACTGCGCCATCAACAACACAACAACCCCGACTTTGCACCCCCCTTCCAAAATTCTCGCTCATGCCCGAAGCACGGCTTGCATTCACCATCTTAGTCCCGAATCATCCGCACGTCCTATCTGTTGACAAAGTATTTAGCAGGCTACTGATTTCGGTCGTGGGCTCCACCGCCACCGGCGACAACAACAACAAGCACACGCAACGAAGCAGTGCACCGGCTAGAAGAGTTCTAAATTTTGTGGGAGCGGTAGCTTGAAGCTTGGTGACCACTATGACCCCCCCTTTCCTGTTCCTGAGGCCCGAAACCACTCCCCCCGTCACCACCGCCACTTCCCCCAACAATCATAATAATAATAATAATAATATCAATTACAGTATTGACAAGAAAATAATACGTAAGCGCAGCCGTGGTACCAGGCACCTGGTACCAAGCAAGGCTGGTACGCGGCATGGGTGCCTGGTACCAGGCCTGCCTGGTACCAGCTCGGCCCTGGCACCAGGCATGGCTATGAGGGCCCTGGTACCAAGCAAGGCTGGTCCCAGGCAGGACGGGTTGGTGGTAACCACTCCCAGGCTGAGACAGCGGAGACCGCACTGCGCAGAACTATCGGGGCTACAATGCTTCCTGCTCCTCCTCCTCCTCCTCGCTAGTGTTGCTGATGCTGCTGCTACTGCTACCACTCTGCACCAAGACGAGTCAACGACAACTACTTCGAGAACAAACAAGCACGATGGGAAACTGTAATGCAACACTTGTGGTTAACAAGCATAGCAGCGTGTGTAGCCCTCAGGTCTGTTCTGATGTTCAGGATGCAGAAGGCACGAGTTCAAGTGGTAACGCCTTGCTCACGCGTTCACCGAGCCTGCGTAGACCTTTAAGCCTCTGCGCTTGCAAGGTCACAGCCATCGCCTGAAATGGTCGTTGAACTTGAGGGCGGTTCGGAGGATCAAGGTGCTCCCACACACGCACCCATCTTGTGACCCGAACCTGAGACGACCCTTCTGCCCGAGGTCGTGGCTTTCTGGATTCAGAGAAGCCGCTGCCTGAGTGTGGCTTGCGCAAACAAAGAGTCGGCCTTCGGGTTCTGAACAGCTGTGCTAGAAATCTGGAAGCTGAAATTCTGCATGCATGTTGCACGCTTTCGAAAGTTTAGGACCCTCTCGTTTTTTGTACCGGACTCGTGTTGCTGACACAGGGTCGGCGGGTGCATGCTACCGTAACTCCAGAACCCAGCTCGAGCTCGGAATCCTCAATCTCAGACACTGGGCTCCGGAACAACTGTTGACAGCAGAACGACCTGGGGGCCGCACTTCCCAAGCGATAAGAGCTTCGCCGGTCTGGCCCAGGCTCTGATGGAGCTCCTGGGGCCGTACTTCGCAAACGTCCCTAGGCCCCAATCCTGGGAGGCTTCTGGGTGACGGCTTTCGCGTATGGCTTTCACTTTCTACACGCACATACCATCATAACGAAAAGCGGTGGACAACCCCGTCTTAGGACTCAATAACAGGAGTCATAACAAAATCGTTTCCCACCCATTTAACCGCGAGTAAATTTGAGCAGTCGGCAAAATCGATCCCCCCATGTTCGGTGTTCACAAAGAAGTTTCCCCACCATGTAACCGCGGCTTACACAGCGACGGGCATGGGGTTTGTCGTATCCATGGTTCAGGCAGCATTTCTTGAACTTTGTCCCGAGTGTTGATCGATCTGGGGCTCGTTCCGCCTGCAGCGGAAACCCTCACAAAATCCATACAACCATCGATTCAGACTTCGCTAATCGTAGGACATAAAAACATTCCATGTGAGGAGCATGTCGGATCCAGCCTAGCAGCGGCAAGACCCGTACAGCTAACAGTTCAGATTTGCCCTTGCCGCGCGGACACCTCTGAAATGTGTACACAGTGTACAACAGGAGCATGTCATACTTCAGCTTTAGGCTCACCGACCGAAAACCGTTGGGCCGCAGGACATCCGCAAATTATAGCAGCAATGAAAGGTTTAGGCCGAGACAGATGCTGGCGCTAAGGAAAGCAGTGGACCGTTTCTACAGCATTTCGGCAGGGGGGGCTGGTCAGATGGAACCCCGACAAAGCTCGCTCGTTCCCTGGGGTGCCCACGGCGAGAAGCTGGTGCAGCGAGGAAGCCTCCACTGCTGGTGCCAGCTTGGCTCCTGACAGAGTTGTGCTCTGACATGGTGCGGGCAGGTTTACGCGACATGGGAGGTATCCTTTCAAGAGCAACCCTGTGATGCACGCTTTTTTGAGTGCCGCAGTTGAGTTGGACTGCCCATCATGCTCTACAGGGACACCATGACTGGCTCGGCAGAAAAGCCAAATGCCTCATAGTCCCTAGAGTAGAACTCCTTCACCATCTGCATTGTGGCCGCGGTTGGTGTTACGTTGCAATGGTTACTCTTGTGTATGTGCTTCCCCAACGCCATTTGGCCAAGCCCGTATTTTTCCATCAATATGGGAAATCCAGAATCGATGTCGTCGTACTTCAAAATATGACGACATATCCGCGGTGCCGTAGGGTCGCCGTTCTGGAAGACGTAGTAAACCTGGGGAACGAAATGGCAGTCGTTTTTCAGGTCAAAGCGCCGCAGCACTTCTCGGGTGAATTTCTCCAACATCTCCGGGTCGCAAACCTCGGGCAACTTGTGCATCGTTCTCAACTGACTTAGCATCCTGAGCATTGGATCCCGGACGACGCAGAAGGAATCACACTCTGCCATGTACGATGCAGCCACAGTTGCATCAAAAGCTGGTGGGAAATGCCAAGGGCTGCACCCAGCTACACCCTTGTGCGCAAGTTCACGGATGCTTGCTGGTGTGTTGGCAGGAGGGCTGGCTGGGACCCTGCATGACGGCCACTTGCGCTGTCCCGATTGCCAAGGCCAACCAGAAGCGTTTGAGCAGCGAATACGGTCATCACATACACCCCAAAGCCTATGTTGGATCTTGCCGCGGCGTGCCGCCACTGCACAGCTGGGATGCTCTGATGTTGAATGAATCCTGTTGGCCTCGATCAATGCACCCTCAATGGTGCCGCCCATGGTCTTGGGGATGTGGATAAAGCTTAGGCATGCTTTCAAAGACTTGTCGTCCTCCCATTGCCGGGTTTGGATGAGAGATGCGCTGTCGCTTTGCGAAGCACAGGCCCGATAAGATTCGTGGGATGATGCCCCAGGGAACAGCCATGTGAGAAAAAGCAGCTTCCTTGCCAAGTCCGGCATCAGATGAGTTCGTTCTTTGACGACTCAAAGTTTTGAATTCTGAGCTGCGCAGCTCCAGGAGATGCTTTCACGAGATTGGCATGCAAGTACATAGATTGCCATCGCTGAGGTATTGCTACTGAAATTATGCTGGATGCCTGGCAGAAGACCTTGTCCGAACCACCAACGCCATCACATGAGTCAATGATTTGCCAAAGGAGTTGGAGCAATTAAATTACCAGTGATGCAACTGTTGCACTGTGGATCTCGTCAGTGGACCCCTGCTCCGGGCCTCTGCTGATGGCCCCGATTGCTTCGGCAGTGCGTTTTTCCTGGAAGCGATTGTGCGTTTTTAAGCTGCGTGCATCTTGTGATAAATACAAAACAGCAAATGGCAGAATCACAAGCAAACAAACTAACCAATTCATACGTGTACATATGTAGGTATATGTATATACCTATCTCCTCTATATCTACGTAAAGGGTTACATGTATAAAAAACAAATAAAAAGCATATTAATGTATATGTATGGTGCAGCGCTTGGTGGCCCACCCACCCCCACCCACCCCATGGTATCCACCCACTCCCCCTGTGGTTCCCTGTGGTGTGGGTTCCCCCCTTGTTCTTCCCTCGAAGATGATCACGATCCTCGTCTTCAAGCTTCTCCGATCCCTTGCTCAGGACTCCTGAGTGAAAGTTATTCAAGCAAATCCTCGGGCTGACTTTTACCGCACCCATCCGAAACTGAGCATAGAGTGACAACGGTCGGTACACACTACGAAAATCTACGAAAGAACATGAGGACAAACAAGCTTTTGCAACTGAGGTACAAGCAAAGAACATGTGGCACCTAAGGGCAGAACAGCATAACAGTGCTACCGACAGTCACATTCGAAATACCAGCATGCACGATGCACATCATCGTCATTGTCCTCAGCATCATCGCCATCATTCTCATCTGTGTGGGGAG